CCAACAAAATTGTTATATCGTTCTAATGAACTGTCCTCGGAAGTAGGTTGTCAACAGGGTGATCCCCTTGGGCCTGCAATTTTTAGTTTGGCTATAAATCCGATAATCAAAAATTTAAATTCTAAATTCAATGTTTGGTATTTGGACGACGGAACCCTAGGAGGTGATGTGGATACTGTTTTTTCGGACCTTTTTTCAATCAAAAATAAATTTGAAGCCATTGGTTTGGAGCTTAATTTTAGCAAATGCGAACTTTTTATAAATAACAACGACTTAAATTTAAATGACGTTAAACAAAAATTTAATATTTTAGCTCCAAATATTAAAATAGTTAACAGTAATTCCCTTTACCTTTTAGGTTCTCCAATTTTTGATGAATCAATTTCTGAATATATTAATAATTCAATTAATAAAGGACATTGTTCTGCGTCCATACATAGTTAGCCTAAAAACCAACAATCATGAAATATTATTTTCTAGGTTCGAAATCGCAAGTAAATGACTGTAAAATCAAAGATTATTGACGGACACTTCTGAGAACTTAAATTATTAGGAAAACTAAATTTTTTTTGAGGTTATGTTTAATATTCAGTGAAACATAGGTCAACCTATGAACTTAGTATGAACTCAGTATGAAGTGAATTAATATTATTACAACTAATTCCTTTTATTCGGTGCGATTTTAAAGAATAACTATTAGGATAAACTTGTTAGGTAGGAATCATGAATAAAATAAAAACAATAGTTTTGCTTCTTATTATTTATTGACTATTTTTCACATAATTGTATCATATTGTATTTATTTGTTTAACACATGCATATTGTGTAAATATGCAGCGTGAATGTGTATCAGGTGCTCTTGAATAATTTGGCAGTATGATCCTTTCAGGATGTTGTGGCACAGGTTCACTAGCAGTTGGTAATAAGGTCTCTGCTCTTTGGTTACATCGATGGCATATTAGATAGCCGAAATAGTAATAGTTACATGAAAGGAAAACCAATCGCAAATAAACACACACAACAGGTAATCCGAACGAGAATTTTCCGTATACAAAAAGTACTCTTTGACGAGAATGCACGAATGCCACAGATTACTACGAATACAAACTGCCTGCACCACAACCACAAAGTATCGAGTTTATGCCGGCCCTTCCCTTGACAACAGTTTGTCCTTGTCATGCTTAATAAGAAATGAAAAGGACAGACTGATGTCATGTTTTTAAATAGCAAATACGAATAGCCAAGTGAAGTGCCGGCATTAGGAAGAAAGTGTTTTTTGTTTGCAGCGCTGTCATAGATTATACACACAAAATGGTATTTATTGTCTCAGATTATTTATTAAGTTTTTAATTTAGCTTACTTAACTGGAAGTGTCCGTCACAATCTAAATACTGATAATTATCGCAAAAAATATACTAAGAATTATCATAAATGCCAAATTGATGTTGGTTCTTAGGCCAATTTTAACATTGTCCTTTCAAAATTCTGCCGACCGTCTCCTTGAAATAAGTCCACATTATGCACTTTGCATCTTAAAATTCTGTCTTTTTGTCCCAAAATTTACGTATGTGCTCCGTTGCTGCTCCTTTTGGAATCACTTAGATCTTTTGTCACAATTAGACGACTTAATCAAAATTAAATTAGAATCGATTCTTAATATGCAGCGGAACGAGCAATCTTGGACCCAAGCATCCCTACCCATCTGTTATGGTGGTTTAGGGATTCGCAAAATTTCCAGTGTCGCTTTACCAGCCTTCCTATCTTCTGTCCATAGTTCAGCAAATCTCATAAGTAAAATTTTAAGGGCATCCCCTTCAAACTTTGAGATTGCTGGCTTGGAAGAAGCTAGAAACGCTTTCTTAATTGCATGCCCAGGTCAAAATTTTCCAGTTTCTCCAAATTCACAGAGGAGCTGGGACGACATAAATTGTAAATTAACTTATAATAACCTTTTGAGCTACAGTACAGGTTCGGCGCGTGCTAGGCTTTTAGCCGTGGGTACGCATGAGGCCGGCTACTGGCTTCACGCGTACCCTTCGACAAATACAGGCACATTTCTTGAGCCTGACACACTCCGAATGGCAACCTGTCTACGGCTTGGGGTCCCGGTCTGCGCTCCTCATAAATGTCCCTGTGGCAGTGATGTCGACAAGCTAGGACATCATGGACTGTCTTGCCAAAAAAGTGCAGGCCGCTTCTCGAGACACGCCGCACTTAATGATATCATACGCCGGTCCCTTGCCACCGTCAACGTGCCAAGTCTACTTGAGCCAACTGGTATTGCAAGAGACGATGGCAAGAGACCGGACGGTATGAGTTTGATTCCATGGAAGATGGGTCGGGTGCTAGTATGGGATGCAACCTGTTCAGACACGCTGGCCCCTTTCGCATCTACATGGAACCAACAACAGAGCTGGTGCGGCTTGTGAAGCGGCTGAAAAAGCTAAGGCAGGCAAATACAGGGGTCTGGGCTCCGAATATGATTTTGTCCCATTCGGTGTCGAGACCCTTGGTCCGTGGGGTCCTAGCGCTATAAGGCTTTTTAAAGAAATAGCGAAAAGATTAGTCGAAATCACAGGAGACCGAAGAGCTGGCAAACCTGGCTGACCTCGGACAAAGAATTAGTCTAGCTATCCAAAGGGGGAACGCTGCCAGTATCTTCGGAACCTTGCCTAAAGGGACTCCTTTTAATAATGTATTTTAGTTATTATATTTTATTTTTTAAGGTTTTTAGTTTTAGGTTCATTGTTATAGTATATTTTTTATACGATAAAATAAAATATAACTATGTTTCGTCCAATATATTTAGATCTATCCTTAAGTATATATTGTACATTTTTTTATATGTAGTCCACTTAGCTAGTTAGATTTTGTTCGAACACTAATGTACTGTTATATATATATATATATATATTGTTGCGTGTGACGCTCGTGAGGCTCGTAGCGTTTCAGCCTTCCCCGAGGTACCCTCCAACTTTCATGGTCGTCGGGAAGAGCCGCCCATGCGTCACGATGTGTGGGATACACATCGTGACTCATTTCCGTTTCATCTTTTCCATTTACACCCTGTCCGAAAAGAAATTTATTTGTTTTAGTTTTCAAAAAAAAATAAACTTTTCTATATTATAGGCTTCATACTTTAAGTTGATATTAAACTATTTGAAATGTTAAATAATATAATAAGATTTTTATTTGATTAACATAATAATAAGATTTTTATATAATCAACATAGTTGGCCAATATTTTCTTTCCCAACCCACTTGTGAATTTTTTTATTATAGTAAATTTTATTTAAACTAATTTTCATTCATTAAACAGATGAGTGAAGGTCCTTCCTAATTCGCATCATAGACTAAGTAAAGACCCATTTGAAAACCATTTTATAGTTTTATTGACATTTTTGTTTCTTAGGTTTTCACGCACACCACTCATTAAATAAAACTAGTTTTATTTATTGACATTGTTTATATTTTACAGGAAAACTGAAGCCTGCCACCGCATTCATGATGGGCAAACTAAAGATTAGCGGAGATCTTCAGAAAGCAATGAAACTCGAGAAGATGATGAAATCACTGAAGAACAAAGTATAATATAAAAAGATACATTTCATGAATATTTACACGAATCGTATTCACCTGTCACAATACCAAGTGACAATGCAACTGAAACGGAATTAATAAGTACCAATTGATGAAATATAATTATTAAAGAATATATTCTTTAATATAATTATTAATAATTTTGATTTACACTATAGTGTAAATTTCAAAACTATTTTTGTACAGCTGTGTGTATAGCTAGATAATGTTTTATTATATGGAAGTAAAATAAATGGCATGTTGCAATTTTGTCAAAATAGCTTTATAAGAAAATAGGTCATTGTCATTTATAATTTTTATATCACTTTGTTGAAACTCTGTAATATTGCGATTTACCTATTTAAATGTTTTATTACCATTATAATATTAAATAATATTAATATTGTTAAATTTGACTGAAATAATATAAATAAGTTATCGACTATTTATAGTTGATGTAATAAGTGTAAAATCGTGCTGGAAATGCATGTAAGTTCTAAATTATAAAGTATCCAAGTCATAAACTATATTATTTTACTATCCGTAAAATAAAGTTGTTTACTGAACTAAACATAGATCAAGACTGTCTTTTTAACAATCATATTAAGTATGCCCCCGTCGCAATGTTATTTATTATTCAATGTTCCAAATGATACTGTGTATATTTGTGTGTAATTTGACAATTGGAAAGGATTTATGTAAATAAAAATATAGTTATTTATATTTTCATTGTTTTTTTTTGAGAACTAGCTTCCAGACGCTTTTCTCGTTATAAATGTTTGTCGTTTTCCCCAATAGGAACCTAACAATTTTCTAGGTTAAAATTATCCTTTGTCTCAATCCAGGTAATAAACTAAATGTGTGCCAAAAGTCATCCAATTGCGTTCAGCCGTTCTTGCGTGTTGAATAACAAACAACCATTGAAACTACAAACTATCATAATTGTATTATTAGCAATATCGTCTGTGATGATAGATCTCATCCTAAGAACCTAATTTAACATTGCAAGTTGTATGCACATTCATGGAAATTTCCTTGAAACTAATTAATGCAAATAATATGTACCTATACCGTTATAGTTGAAGAAGTGTAGGATTAGTGATCCCGCCCTTGGCTTTCATTGCTTTATTTTTAGTTTCATCAACACAGGTTCACATTTGATTTAAGTTGGGTTTTTAATAGAAAATGACTAAGTTCTATTGATACCTTAAAGTAATTTTTAAATGCCCGCCAGAAAGAAACCAAAGTTAACGTTCCCTGTGCAACTGAAGTATTTTTACTTTGAACATTCAATTGTTTTGTAGCTGTTAACATAACGATACGAAACATAATTCTCTTACTAAGTAAGTATGTTACTAGGGTCATTGGTAGCTTATTAACAAGTAGTAATAGTCTACTTTCGTAAGCAATACAATAACAATTTCGTCAGACAGGCGTTTGTAAAGATAACCTTGTTATCAATTGAATCTCCCGCGTAACGTAACACGAGACCTTGGCTGACATAATTATTTCTCTCGCTCAAGTGTCAGTCTGTTTTGTATAGGTTAGCGGAATAGTGCGACAGTGTACTGTGAAAATAAACCGAGTTAATTGGAGAACTATTCCATTCAATATGTTTTCGATTGATGCACCAGTAGAGATACAAAATTCTGAATATTGCAATTACCGCTCGCCGCTAAGCACGAGATATGCATCGAAGGAGATGCAATACAACTTTAGTGATCAAAAGAAGTTCTCTACATGGAGAAAGCTGTGGATCTACCTCGCGAAAGCTGAAAAGGTTAGTGATATCAATAGTTTTCATCAAAAAGTTATAAATATAATAACTTTTGTCATTTTGTTTTTATCATTTTCAGTCCGTCCGTCAACTTTCTGACACTGACAGACTGACACATGCATTGGCATTTCTATTTTTTTTTATTCTCTATTGGGAAAGCAAAGGAAACTAAGTTTACAACAAACAGCCTCACGTTAGGAATATTTTTTTAGTTATCATAACGCAATCCTTCTCTTGGAGTATTTGGAATTGTGTATTTTTTTGATTATATTTTGTCGGCATTCTCGTTAAGCTTCTTCAGCACTGCAGTTGTTTCCGCTTTAACAGAGTTTGTAGCACAAATTAACACCATTTTTATCATGATATCCAATAAAATAAAACGTCATCTCATCAACTGCATTCAATAATATCGTGATAAAAAAATCTATTAGTACCCAACCATGAGAAACAGCTGTAAGAAATTGCGAAATTGTTTTTTATAATTATCTGCACATCAAACACACACAGTAAATACAAAAGATACTGTAGTGATCACCGACTCGTCCGGAGGTCTCTGAATATCAACTTTGAGGCCGAGCGCGTCCGTTTGATGAAATCCAGGCTCCAACCTACTCTGCTCCAATCTATAACAGGATCTGAAACGTTCCAGTCAAATCTGGAGAACCGATTTTCTGCCGTGGAAACCACATCAGACGTAAACCAAAACTTAGAAAATGTGGTTCGGATCCTCAGGGAAGAGGGTACGAGATTATGTGCAATGCAGCGTAAGGAACGACGTGAAAATCCACCCGTCATTTCGTCGGCAAAGCGGACTCTAAACCAAAAGATCAGTAAGCACGTACGACACGACCTCCGGTGCTCCAATACTCTCTCGATCGAGAGAGCGATCGAGCAGAATCGAGGGTCCAAAGTGTTCGTACAATCTCTTGAATGAAGCCATCTGACGACGATGACCACAGCAAGTGGGGAAGTTGTTGTTTCAAAGCCGGCAGTCCTTCCGGAAGTGAAAGACTTCTACAGCCAGTTGTACGCATCACATGCATCTGGAGCCGATCCCGGAAATGAGGATTCTAGAGCCACATTAATACACCACTTCACCGAAGACCTGCCAGAAGTCAGTATTGGCGAAATCGAGATTGTTCTTGGACAGCGTAAAAATGGAAAGCCCCTGGAGATGATGGTGCCGTTCTCGAAGTTGTTCAAAAATATGTATAACTTAGGTAGACATTGCAATTAGGTATAAACAACTTTGAGGACGAGGTGAATAGAAGAATTCGGCTAGGTTGGGCAGCGTTTGGGAAGATACGTCAAGTCCTGACATCGTCAAACCCACAGTACCTAAAGACGAAAGTCTTCAATTAGTGCGTCCTACCTGTGAGGACATACGGAGCCGAGACGTGGACACTGACGGTATGGCTGGTCCACAAGTTCAAAGTCGCTCAGCGCGCTATGGAAAGGTCTATGCTCGGCGTTTCCCTGAAGGATCGCATCAGAAATGAAGTAATCCGACAGAGAACCAGAGTTATCGACATAGCCCACCGGATTAGCAAGTTGAAGTGGCAGTGGGCTGGCCATATTTGCCGAAGAACCGATAACCATTGGGGTAGACTAGTTCTGGAGTGGAGACCGCGTCTGGGCAAACGTAGTGTAGGACGTCCTCAGGCACGATGGAGTGACGATTTGCGTAAGTTGGCTGGCAGGAGCTGGATGCGAGTAGCCCAAGATCGATCTGAGTGGCGTGCAATTGGAGAGGCCTATGTCCAGCAGTGGACTGGGATAGGCTGTTGATGGTGATGATTATTATTAGGTATTTCTAATATTTCTTGAAATATTTGATACCAAACGTACCTATAACATTGAGTTAAATATATAGGTATTATTATACTGTAGTAATTATATTATACTCCCAGATGTTTAAGCGTCTATAATATTAGTATGGAGGTCGGAAACAATGGTGTCAGGTTGTCAAATTACTTATCTTACAACAGTTTATCAAAGCTGCTATGGTTACTAATTAGTTTTTTAGTATCTGCACGGAATAGTAGCTAACGCATATTATGTTTTGATACACTCCCAGCCCAGCATAGTGAAGAACATAGCAAAAAAGATGTAGGAAATTCAAACAAGGACACATATTAATAATTATACATTTATTGAAATAAACATTGGATACATAATTCATAATACAATCTTGTCTTATTTATTAAAACTTTGTTGAGACGCGAGTACCTTTTATTTATTTTAAAATGTTATTATTAATTACTGGTTGAAGAGCGGGTACATTAGGTAACATTAGCGCCAAATATTTACCGTTACGCGTATAATATTTATTTATAATTCTTAATTAAATACAATAATAATATTTCTTTATATTCTTAATTAAAACAAGTTATAGTTACAAAACCAAAATTCATATAATGAAAAATAATAAATAGCACTATTTAAGCATTAATATTCTTTTCATAAAGATTTCCGATTATTATTAAACAAAACTTTACATAAGCTATAATAATATTTATTTTAATAATTCAACATTGACTAAAATAATTTTTGAAGTTGAAAAGAAAATATTCCAACGATAATTTTAAATTAGTACCAAGCCGTTACAATAAGTATTAGAAATATTAATAAAGTTGGTTAGTAAATTTAAGTTAAAAGATAAACGCATCTGAGTCAGCCATCAAACGTACCTAATAATAACTTAAGTAAGAATTGAAATACCTAATAACCGCATTAGCTGCTCAAATAATTTCGATAGTCTTTAAAAGTAACAATAGTAAGTAGGTATCTTAACAACTAAGTTAAGATTGATTGTGGGTAAGATAATCAACGATCGCTCCTACTTACCTACTTCTTCACTAACTTAGCCCAAGTTATTACTTGGCAGCTGTTGTATACAAGAGACTTATCTCGCTTTGACAGCTAAGCATTTTATATTTTTTATTGACTCATGATGTGCTTAGAAAATTTGCAGAAGTGTAAAGCTTTAGATAACAGGAGAGAGAGAGAAATATAGGATACACTACTACAGAGGAGATAAGTAATAACTTAACTATAACTGGACGGATACTGATTACTGCTTTGGTTCTCCCTTTTAAATTAAACTTAACGTTCATTTAAGAAATAACAACAAAATATTTACTAACAGTTAATTTCATTAACGAAAATCTTAAATAACACAAGAAGAAGAGATTCATTCAAAAGTACTCCCGTAAATTATATTAGTATCAAACAATAACCACTAGGTCTTTCTTATTATTTATGTCTGTCCAATGATAAATAAAAAAACAAATTTTATCTTTTATAGAAATTTAAAAAAAAAACGCACCAATTACACGAATATTTTTGCATATTTCAAGGAAATGGGTGAAAACAGTCGACTGTTAGTACCTGTATTTAAGTAACCGGGAAACCTAAATAAAGATTAGAGGAAGCAACCTTAAAGTCACATAAGATGACTTCTAAATTCCAACGGTGGTATTATTTCGTAACTAACAAGTAACTAGAACAAACAAAATATTACGGAACTACCCACCGCGAAATCTTAACGCAGTCTAAAAGCAGTGAAATAATAGCTTTAATATGCTATAAGATTTCGCGATAGTGACCCCAGACTTAAAATTAGCTGCCTTTATTAAATAGTAATTTTGTCTTAAATCTATTGCCAATCTAAAAGACTTTACTAGTTTCAAAAATTTAAAAAGTAAAGTTTTAAGCTTGTAAAGTTTTGGTTGTCATGATTAAATTAGCTTGCCAATAAAATGTTAATATAAAGCTTATTCTGTCCACCATTGCGCCTAGATTTCGTGTACATTATATTTATCGAAAAGTCATTTCCGATTTCAAGTAAAACTTCTCTATTGAACGACTAATTGGTTTTAGCGGAATGTAGACAGTACCTAACTTAAATACTTATTACTTATTAAAAAGCTCTGTTAACGCGTCGTCTGTTTGAGAGATAAGTAGTTTAGTTTATGGTGTTAGAACTATTAAACTTTTCTCACTCTCAAAATGGTGGAATTAAAATGAGCCGTGCATGTGTACGCTTAACAGCTGATTATAGTAAGAGTCCAGTATTTCACCAATTTAATTGGTTTCCATACAATTAACAACAAATAAAACATACAAAAATCTATGTTAAATAGATACTTATATTTAAACACCTAAGGTTACTTTCTAAGTTTCTATCGATACATTTCTGTGCCGTACTTAACATACAGAAAAAATCAAATAATCTACTAAGTCCCTCATCTTTACTATGGAAAATAAAGACAATCCCTATTCCTAACAAAATATACCTCTTACGATTTTACTTGCACTATCGGCCACTGATTAAATAAAGAGAAAAATATAGCTGCCTGACTAAAACACTTTTGGTACCTGAAGCTGCAGTTTACTTTAAAATTACAGGCAAGTAGGAAATAATTTCCCCTATAAACCTTATTATAGTACCTAAAGCTTTTTAACTTAGAAAGCTGCCTTTTATATGAAACTGTTGTAAAAATAGCTGCATTTAGTCAAATAAACCTAAAAACTTAAATTAAAAATCGTTTTTATTTTCATTAAAAAAAAACATTGGGTTGTGATAAAATTTGTAGCTGCAGCATAGGGCAGAGAGAAAGAAGTAAATAAATCGGAAATATTGGAAAAAGCAAAGAAATTATTATAATTCATTACTGATTAGCTGCAGCATCGGGGCAACTGTCATCGACGTTGATAAAACTAATTTACATTATAATTGCGTAAAAGTAATTCAATTGAAACTGCAACATGGGCAACGGAATCTTAAAAACAAACATCATAATAGCGGCTACTCGACGGAATACCATACAAAACTTACCAATATTTACACACACATAACAAATAAAACTAGATCATTAACGATACTCTTAAAACTACTTACACTAACACTGCTTTACTTTATAATACTTCGAAGTAAGTAAATAACAAAACGAACATTCTCTAATGCAACGTTTCCACTTAAGTTTAGAACAGTTCTGAACGAGCAATCATTTGCTCGCTCGGTAATTGGACACAACAGAGCGAGCGAACGATTTCGTACAACGACGTTTGACTGGTCATAAGGAACAAATGCTCTCTTGCTCAGTCATCAATGGAAACAACGCAACATTGTTCTGAGCATTCCATTTACCGAACGAACAGCAAAATAATGTTTGCTCGCTCGGAACTGTTCTGAGCATTTGGTAGAAACGCAGCATAACTCTAATAGAATTATTAATAAAAAATATGTAATCAGAGATCCAGATTTAGAACGGAGAAATAAATTTTCCCTCCTTAAATCAACATCAGGCCAAAGACATAGAAAATTTTATCAAAAAAGAAGAAGCATTAGGTGTCGTTTAATATTCCGCTTCCTTTCTGAATGTCAAGAAGGCGTGAACGAGAAATACGACTGCGTTTATGATGCCAAACACTCCTGAGGTGATGAGGAGGTCGTAGGCTTGCTTGTTGGGGCGCTGGTTGGCATAGTAGGATCTGTGCCAATCTGTCAACATAAAAACAATACCTACATTAACATAACTGCTTAAAACAAGTTTCAGCAGAGACGGTAGAATTAAGGATATTGCAGAAAATACAGTCTATTGTTTACGGTTCTTGAGTAAGAAAACGCCTATATACTTTTGTATTAAACACAGAAGTATGCAAATGCAAATGAAATAACAAAGAAATATATAAAATGGTTCAGAGTTCAGACCAAGAACATATGGTAAGTACTAAATAAAATACAAAAATAATGAAACTATATACTGTCGGTAACTTGGCCTGGAAGCATTCGACGAACACATTAAAAGAGAGTATTTCCACTATTTCAAAATTAGTCGTTTCAAGTACAACAATAAAACTACTAGACTGATTTAGAAAATCATTTTTAATTAAATTAAAGGCAGTTTCACTTTTATAGAGTCAAGTTTACTACCTATTTTAGAAACGCTCATTATAACAGTATTATTAATTAATAATTCATTGCTGCGTTTGGTTTAGAAACGAAAGGAAGTTAGCACTACTTTGTAGCACCAATCTCCAAGGACCAGCGCTTCGTTTCTAATTGAGCACAGAGGTAGTCATGCCTTATGCGGCAAAGTGGGCTCTAAGGCACAAACGGCATATTAATGAGCATATTATAATGACAACAATAAATATTACGACGTACTCGACTATTTACAGATTACAATCCGGTCCCTCCTGTTTGTAATTGAAAACAAACTTGGGTAGGTATGGAGTTTGTCAATAGCCATCGTCTTTCCAAACATCTATCAACATCCGAATTGCTGCGGTCATTTTTTTTCACACATTATGTCTAGTTCTCCCATACCTGAGCGACGCAGGTTTGTTACTGAATGCGCTAAAATTAGCTTTCGAAATTAGAATTATATCTATCGTAAGGACGAAGATGGAACGTATCCTTCAGCTACACATACGAATTTGTCGTCGTCGTCTAGGTTGTAGGCTGTCTTTGATGAGTGTGACAAAACAGCCAGTCGAGCTATCGTCTGGCGTCTATTGTCCCGCAGATCAATAATTCGTCATGATGGAACTTATTCAAATTTCGAACACTAATTTTAGCGCATTTAGTTCTGAGTTTCGTTGCGCAGACGTGGAAGCATCGCAATACTTTAAATTCATAAGCAGAATAAATCGTTTTCTACATAAATGTAACTTGGACCTGAAATATTTGTCTTCATTAACTTGAACCGGGAAGTTGAAAAAGGCGACATCAAATTCTTTCGCAGCTAGAGATCGTAGCTAAAGATGGCCAAAATAAAATTGTGGACGGTGACAAAAAAAATATAGGTAACAAGAAGATGATCTCAATATGTGATTTGGTTTTATGAAAAACATGTTTGTTGATATGATCCTACTTGCGAAGGAGTTTTTCCATTAAAATGTTCTCGACTACCATCCGCAATAATATTGTGCACCGTTCGCATACAGCCTTGGGTAGCTTATTGCGTTGTTGTACATAATTACCCCATGATTCACATCACTATGAAGTCCTTGTAAACAATATGACTAACGCAATTTTATTTATTTCACTTTTATTTCGTCCTGCAAGGTTTCTGACTATTCGATTGCTCTATGTTTTTAACCCTTATTGGAATACTATTTTAATATCGACCATAAACGTCACTTTAGTAAGAAGCTTAAACTTGATAACTTCATGCCGTAACTTTTAAAGGCAGAAGCTATCAAATATTACACATTCAATCAGAAAGATCGTTTCGCTTTTGACATCAGGAAATTCTGTTATTTTCTTGTTTTCTCTTGCCTTTTCCATGTCAACTCAATAGGATCATCACAAAAAAGTTCATGTAATGGAAAATTGTGTCATTAAACACTCCTGAACGTAAACAATGACCTTTCAAAAGAGTACTCATTAGTAACAATTAATTCCGAGATAAACCTTGATCTTTTTCAGAATATGAATCATTAAGATGTACCGATGTACATTTCACTTGACTATTCATGTTTGCTATTTGTAAACTTGTCATCAGTCTGTCCTTTTCATTCCTTATCAAGCACGATGGAGACAAACTGCTATCAAGTTTACAAATAGCAAACACTAATAGCCAAGTGAAGTGCCATTACCGACTCGAGAATTGAATGAAGGTCAAAGTTATAGGGATTTGTTAGTTTTTGTTCTTACTTCGTGGGACAATATTCAAATGGCGGTTCTCACTCGCGTGTTATATATAAAGGTCATTGTAAATAAAAAAAACCGGGCAAGTGCGTGTCGTGCCACGCGCGACAGTTCCGTAGTTGCTAGTTACCACAATATATTTGAGCAAGTCTTTTTTTATATCGGAAATTAGAAAAACCAATCAATGTTAATCTAAGAATCGCAACTAAATCACCTAAATCAAAGTCAAACTGCGTCTCAAATACAAAATCAATGCGATATAATTTTTATTTTATTTTTTGTTTCCTGATTGACTTTGTGATAACACCGTGAATTTAATCATAGCGCAGTGCATCTTTGAACTTAGTTTTATGCTTATCCCGCACGTGCGGGACGAAGTTTTGGTATTAAAATGCACTGATTATTATTAGCGTTCGAACTTTGACTTAACTACGCTCCTTCAGCTGCACATACAAATTTATCGTCTACCACTACCTCTTTTAGCGTGTCAAACTATCGCCAGTCAACCTATCATCTAGCGTATAGACACGCAGCCCGATAATTTATTACGATAGAACTAATTCAAATGTCCAATGCTAATTTTAGCGCATTTATTACCAAAACCACCCAAAGCTTCATCGCGCAGGAATGCGAGAAGCATAAGAGAAAATACGGCTGCGCACTAAAAATGGAGGTATCAATATGCTAGCAATTATTACAACAATAGACTCACCATAGAATATGACAGCAGCCGCCGCGGTGAACATGATGGCGCCGATGACAGAGAAACCGATGGAAGTCCTCCAGCCTGCAGACTCGCCGAGTAGCCGGGCGATGATAAGAACGCCCGTGATGATGATGAAGCCTGTGATGAGTAACGCGTTACGTTAGACAACCAGCAGTATTTCCTTCAGAGATTTCTCTAGCCTTTGTACGGCTCGTGTGCAATAATTAACCTGGCGCCCTCCTGTAAGTGCGCGGTCAAAATGTAATGGTGGCGAGTGACGCTCGGCGCCAAATATTGCAATAATGGCCACACTATAGTCTATATCAGTTGAGGAGCTCGATGGCGCGTGTGGTTAGCGCGTTCGGCTGCAATCGTTGAAGTTAAGCAAATTTAACATAGGGTGGGTGACCCAAAAATTTTCTATCTCGAGTTCCTCCGTGCTTCGGAAGGCACGTTAAGCCGTTGGTCCCGGCTTCATCTGCAGTCGTTAGCACCCGCCAATCACACCCGCACTGGGCCCCCGTGGTGGGTCATGGCCCAATCTCCCTATTCCATCCACAGTGAATGTTTGTGCCCCAGCAGTGAGGACATTAATAGGCAGATGGTAAGTGTGATGTGATAGTCTATACCAACCGAACACAGTATAACAAAAAATAAGATAATGTACTTATAATGCAAAAAATGCTTATTAAACATAACGGTTATGTTCAAAAGTATCAGAAACTGAAAATGTAATCAGCAAGCGACACTGTGACGGAATCATAGAATTTCGTTTCATTGTTATTGTAGTGGAAGAAGGTGCAACATATGTCCAAATTGTGCACACATTTTCCACAAGACAGACCGTGATGTTTACGTTGACACTTTCTCACAGTTCAACGAAACCAATTTTCCAGTTAATGAGGTAGTGAAACCGATTGCAAAATTAATATTGCGCAATGACCGTGACATCCGCAAATACTACACATTTACAAACATAATAGACGTTTATTTTACATCTTACACAGGAAGTTAAGAAAGTTGTATAATCTACTTAGGAAAATAAAAAGCTGTTTTCGGGGAATAATCAAATTCGGTGTAGATGATCCAAGACTTTAATAGTAATCAACAATTTAGATATAAATTCAAAGGCTGTCTTACTGTTTTCCATTAGTCTGCTTAGCAATAAGTAGTATCTACCATAACGGATGCCATGGATTAAATGGTAGTTGTACAGAAAAAATATAACAATACGTTACGCCTGTTCGGCTTTAGACTCTTGGTTAATCATGCAGATAATTTTGTTGTGGTTGAAAAACATCTACATATTATCAAGCCGATGTTTTTGCGTCTCATTATTAAAACTGTGCGTCTTTAACTAAGGCCGAATTGGAGTGGCTACAATTATTGTTTGCGTTATTTTTTTTTCTACTCTCTGATGGTACTTTAGCGAAATTACTTTTATGTGGAACGATAGAAATAAAATGCTCAATTGTGTAAGGCGATTCGAAAGATTCGATCGCCGCAAATTGACGTTGTTAAATTGAAAGATTAGCACAAAATTCATTGTGGCGACGGCGATTGGGTCACGGCTATACGATTGTTTTAACAAGGGTCTGTGGGTTTTGTAAAACATCTAAAACTACTTATTTACACAACGAATTGCAATACTTTAACAGGATTGTTTATGGTTTTGCAAACAACTGTTTTATTTCGATATTGCCTATTGTCGTTTTATAATTTATGCCGCTTTCTCTACTTTAGTCCAAAGATTTATTTGATTAGTATTGTTCCTTAGTAAATGTAGTTTGAAATATAATTTATGGTGACTTACTTGAGTAGGCAGAGTAGATGACAGCAATGTGCTGGATGTTCCTTTCAACTACTTGAGGCGAGTAAAGAGCTCCAACTATCAGCCCAATAGCGATCACGGCGATCACCTAAAAAATAAAAGTTATTAATAATAATAAATATTTCCAACACTCACACTAATTAGCCTAGCCCCAAAGTAAGCACTGTAAGGCTTTTGTTATAGGATACTAGGGTAACGGATAGAATACATATACAGTACACATATATTTATATAGAAATACATATTTAACATCCATGACTGGAGTACAAATTCTCGTATTCATCACACAAACATCTGTCCCCACCGGGATTCGAACCCGGTACCTCTCGATTAGACGACAACTTGAAACCCGGCGTACAAACCACTCAGCCACGAAGGTCGTCAAATTTAATTGTTATTAAAGAAACACATAAAAGTTTATTTCAGTAGAAGTATACTTAGGATATTGCAGTTCGATATGGCTCGTTCTAGCTGGATTGATAAAACGTGGTAAGTACATTAAGCTACTACCTACCTACTTTTCGTATCCATTCCTGGATTAGTTATTTGTTGCTAATCGTTAATTTATAGAACTCTGATTTAGTTACCGATTGAAATGAACAAACACAACTGTTGATTTTAAAAAATATTAAACATTGTTTCAACTGTAATTTGTCACGAAAAAAATTAAGACTGAATTTTTCTAATCATTTGCGTCGAAATGTTGTGTTATTGTGATGGAATTATAATTCAGGTCAGTAAAAAATGTTTCCAATGTCAACACAACCATGAGTTTATCGTTGTTGTGCGTTACCGTTACCGTCAGTGCTATCTAAACAATCTATGCTAAGTAGTGAATATTCTATTATAAATTCAAAAGCAACTCTGTCTGTCCGTCTGTCTGTTATGCTTTTTATTTACTGATTCTGATGATTTTTTGTATGGAGATAAAGGGAACCCCATAAAAAGAGCTGAGAGGGAATGCTACTTTTTTAATGGGTCAAATATGGTATTACTTGTAGTATAGAAAATAAAAATCATACTACGCAGCCGAAATCGCGAGTAGGTACCCACTACTATAATTTAATCAACAGGCTTTATGAAATTCATAACAATACGCGTCTCCGAAATAAAAACCTGTAATGGCTTTCTAAACTTTTAAATACCAACAAATAGACAAAGGTCACGTATTGTACGCCTGAAAAAAAGACGAATGGTGTCTATGATTACGACAGTGAAAGTTATCGGCGCCATTTTGGTTTTCTCTTGTTTTGATATTCGCGGGCACCGCAAAGCATTTTCTTAACCCCGCACCGTTTTATTTTCACTTTCTTGTGTGGTTGATTTACTTATTTTAACTCTGTGGTTGCACAGAGATTACTTTGGTTGTATATTTTATGCTATGACTTCAAAGCTTGGTTTGCTTTTATAGTGGTTATAAAGCAATATCCAATTTAAATTACTTTATAGGCAATTTTCACAAGAAACCAGTGAGAACTGTAGAATTGTTTAAAAGCTGTGGAAAAGTAAAGTTAATTTTATAAGAAAATATTAAAGCCCGACCAGGAATCAGGCTGGGTATAAAGTATAGATAGGATTTTAGTTTAATGATTTCATTAAAATATTGGAAAATATGAAAAATATTTTTTGAACATTCATCTATCAGTTCCGATAGCCTTAATTCAGAAAAACCTTCCCTGAACAACGTGGAATGAACTTTTTCGTATTTATGCTATAAAAATCGGGAACATTCATGTCATCAGAATCGAGATCATACATTGTACAATATGTAAAATACATACCTACTTGAGTAATACTTAGTGTTAATATGTAGCCTACAAACCGTAACACAGGAAGGCTGCGTTCAAGGGCACTAGATTGCAAACAATTATCATTTACGTACGACCGTGGACACATCACGTAGTTCCCATAACATAACGTATAAATCAATATATAAGAGGTTAAAGATTGCACAGGATTTCTGTGCAATCATTAACCTGTTCTCTAGTCATACTGTCTTGAATACCCCAAAAAATCCAGTGGGTGTGAGGTTGGGGACTGTAAACATGTAACTTTCATCGAATTCGGTTACTTGTTACAGATCTTACTTTTGATTTTTTTGCAAAAAACAAGCGTATGACCCTCCCCTTATTGTATGCGACCACCATAGCCTATATCACTCGCCCCGTTGCCTACTGGACCCAATCCCCTAGCCCGTGGAACCCTGTACCTTGATCCTTACATACCGACAAAAAGACAGCACCACCAAAAGTAAGAAGGTAGTCGCTATGAAAGCTAGCCTAGTATCCCATAACACAACCCCACGGTACTTACTTTGGGGCTTGGCTAATTGGTGCGAGTTTAAAAAAAACTACTAAAAAGATTTCCTTTTTTTCTTGTTATATCCAAACTTTTTGGACTCCACTCGCTGATACTTCACAGTCCGGAGTTTCACACACCAGCACTGTTTGAGCCCGGTCTTCCAGTTTTTCTTACATCCAAACTTCTTAAACTGAGAACGGACAGCGCTTACATTGGTATGCGTAACCATACTTGTAGCTACGCATATTCATTATCCAAAGGTGTACGCGAGTGTCTGGACATGGCGTTTCAGGACGCGTAACCAACTAAGCGTACCTATGTGCGCGCTGCCTGCACGCAGCTTAAAAGTTGAGGTATCTTCTTACCAATTCTACAGCACGCAAGCCATAGCTCTGGAGTCCCGCTCGGGCGCTTTTGCCTTCTTGCCCTTCTTGGCCTGCACCCCCGCTTCACTCACCAGTTCCATAGCACAGAAGTTAGTTGACCTTTTACTCCATACTCTTTGTGTTCCACTCACCAGTTCCACAGCGCGCAGTCCCAGACACCAGTACTGCTTGAGCGCGGCTGCAGCCCTGGAGTCCCGCTCGGGCGCTGCGCCCTCCTCGCCCTTCTTGGCCTGCGCCTCCGCTTCCCTGTCGCCAGCCGACATGGCCCACACCACTCGCGCTCCACCCCCGAACTCAACCTGATAAAAAAAAGTTTTAATATTTATGACATAGGGTAGTGAAAACGAAGACTAGCGGCGGACAGTCTGTCCTTTCCATAAATTATAAAAAAGACGAGTGTGCTCATGATAAAGAAAATGTGCGCGCGCACTGCTCTCTCTTGCTTATATCCCCCACTCAACCCCCGTTCGCCTCGCCAGATCACACTTTTCGTAACGCGTTTGCCAGCTTATTTCCCAAGTCAAGCGTGCGTAAAAAAGTTTCACTTCAAAAACTTGGATCCAACTGTCGCATGGAGTTGTAAGTAACAGTGCGACCAAAATCTTTATAAATGTGGCGAAAATTTAAACTAGCGTAGCCGTCTTTGTAATCGTCATATTTGGTATAACATTTTTGGCTATTTAAGTAGACAGCGGCGCCCACCCTTAATTATCACTGTTCATAAAGATTTTGGTCGCACTGTAAATTGTATTTTCTTATATTCTGTGCAATTTTCTCAATTTTTTTTCCGTTTAAAACCTTTAAAAAAAGTAAAGTCGTCTCAATTAAGTTCTGGCGTAACCAAGTGATATAGGGATACATTTTTATACAGAGTAGTATATCAAAACTTTGCCACATGGAGGGAAAGTACGTTAAATAGTGTAGATAGAAAGTTGAGCTGAAGGATATCGTCATTTTTATTTGAAATACTATGTGAACTTTTAAATCCTTTTGAAAGAATTAAAAAACAACCGTCCATCGGAACCGAGATTCGAACCCGCCAAATGTAAAATAGAAATCTCCGAACAAAACACACCAATTATTTTTATTCAAGCAGCATAACGCTTCTGTAAAATATAAGTAATCACACTGTCAAGCTTCGCTAGTTCCAATCAAGTAATAAGTTGAATAATTATTCACATCACCGTTACTTAGCAAAATGTCGCAGTGACTGTCGAGAGATACCAGTGACGAACGTTTGAAAATTGGCAAAAAATTATCGTCATTCGAAAGTGGTGTTACACGTTACATAATCAACTTGCAGAACTCATACTAATTATGAATGGTATGTATTTATTTTATATAATATATCAATATACTCTTATAAACAATCATGACTTGAGAACAAATATTTGTGCTTCAAACTGAAACAAGTATGCTCCTCACCGGAAACTTTTGTAGGCACTAGGTACTTATTAGAAATGAGGCTCCAGATAGTTTTTTTTTTTTATATTTGGTGAATCTTTTCTGATTATTCAAACATTTTAGAAACCCTTCACAGGTTCCGAAACGTCAAATTAAAAAATAAAAACCGACTACAAAATCGACAATGGAACTAATAAGTATATACTAACACCGTTGCACACTGAATCGGGTTGAAATAGCACAGTACTGTAGCCAGTGCCGTCTTTGACCTATTAGGGGCCCTGGGCATATTAGGATAATGGGGCCCCTATGACCCCGTTTGGTGATTTAACAGGAACTAGAGACTTTGTATTTGATCTGAGGGGGCCCCCTTTCGATCGCGGGGCCCTGGGCACTTGCCCAAAGTGCCCACTGGGAAAGAGGGGTCTGACTGCAGCGGCCAGCAAAAGAGGCATTGATGGACGAACGCGTTAACACGTAGGGCCATCGTCAGGTATTGGTGTTCGTTGTTCGTCATTGATTTTGAGAAGTGGCTAATTGTATTATTAATTAATAAGTTCTGCCTGGGTACTACTTAGTTTTAATTTCCGCGCATTATTTGTGAAACGTATAATTAATTTTGTATTTATTAATTTTGTACGTAGCCTTGGCCACAATTAGGCATTAATGACCTTACGTTTGTGTGCCTCGGCTCCATTTACACCTTCGTCCATCAATGCCTCTTTTGCTGAAATTCATCATAAGCCTTTATTTCAATAATTATAATGCTGAACTTACACATACTGAAGCTTACACACAAAATTGTGTTTTACATTATTATTAAATTACAATTTCTTCATTAACAACAACATTGAAATTATATTAAGCAAACCAACTAAACAACTTTTTTTTCTTTTTTTCAGTGTAATTTCATGAATCCTTTGCTTTTTTTTATTGTTTTAAGGGACTTTTGTACCAAATTGTCCATTCCAGCCGTATACATTGCATTTTTACAGTAATAAATAACCTACCACATAAAAATGCAGTTAACGCGCTGTTAAACTAATGTGTGACACATACACAGCAAAATTGTAAGCTAATTTGAAATATGCACAAATGATTCCACCGTCTTTCGAAATTCGAAAAAACTTAATAACGAAATGGAATCAGACCATAACTCAAATCATATTGGACCATAGAGTGGACAATAAACGCTCGTATCGCGTGTAAACACTTCTAGAAACGAGTCAACGCGGCTGCATAAATAAATCATAAGGCTGCATGCCGGTCGGTGGAACGGAACGCACGCACTACACTTTCGAATCACGTTTGCTCTTTCAGTTTTTCACGAACCTACTTAATAAGTGCTAATGAAAGAGCCCGATCAATCTAAGTAAGCTATAACGTTTTACTGACGTGTAGATACATAAATATGAAAAAACGACTTAATTATGAAATATATTACTCAATTCGTAAATAAAATTTCATTTGGAACCCATTATATCCCATGAACTTATAAACTTAGGAAAGACTTTTCAAGTTTTTTCGTTATATGGCCTGTGCCGTAAAGTTCTCGTTTGTTCTAGATGTAAATGTGTTTTTTTTAAAACAACCAAAACAGAAAACTGTAATAGCTGAAGGTATTTTGTTATAGTCAAGAGAGTGCTTGATAACTACCTGAAACTTTTGATACTGATATTATAGACGTTTTTAGTTTTGGAACTATTCAAGACGGACTGTTGGATCACTATATTCTAATATTTAAATATAAAAACACACACGAGAAGTAACAAATAAAATAAGTAGCTACCGAAATCGTCTGATTGCGAAAATGTAGAGCTACGAACGTTATTTAAAAGGTCATAAATTCGATAGAATCTCGTTAATGCAAGTGTAAGTCCTTTTGAAAAATAAAAATTAACCTTTGCGTACATAAGTGCAATAACTTTTTTTATTATCTTTCATTATACGGACCTAATTACTTGAATAGAAAATATTGCAAAGCTCCTTAATGTTTTATGATTGATTTGTATATCGATGGTTTAAAATTGTTTTTTTAATTGTGACTCAATGCGTCTATTCATACCGTTCATTATTTTCACATGTAAATTACTTCACCCACAAGCTTTTGTCACCAAAAAGATAAAAAAAAGAACGTGCGTCTCTATCGCTTGTTTCTTTAGGAATTAATAAGAGCAGATAAACTTTTGGACATTTTACCAAATGCTAAGGTATATTGTGCTTACAAAACTACGTCATAGCATTGCAGTCACATTCATGAAAAAGCTTAGGGATATTTATGCGTTAATAATGCGAAACATCCTTCGTTGGAAAAAATAATAATGAAAATGTCTGTATGAAAGACGTGATAATGTACCATTCTCATAATATTTATTCACACATAAAAGCACGAGGAATAATTAATAAATTATGCACCTTACTCTTCTTAATAAAATACCTTTATAAAATTTAAATAAAGAATCTCACCAAAGACAATCAATGCAAACTCCTATTGTAGTTTTAAAAAAGCACTCAATTCAAGCGGCACTGTTTGTTGTTCAATGTTCAGAATCACCCACTTCGAAATTTGAACGCGCGTGGCGGTAAGCTCGCGGGAAGGCGGGTGCGTTGAATGCGCGGCGCAAAGAGACTGTCGCTCTAGTGTCGTCCACTGACGACGATGCCTTGTGCTAGGCACTCGGAAAACTCATCCGTACGTAGGTACCATATATCTCATACACAGGAAGTTCTCTCTTTGAAATTACGTGGTTCCCTAAACCCATGCGTTCGTATTAGTAAACTCAACTGATAACGGGTCTTCGACGACTGTTGAATCAGAAATTACGTGATGTATTACGTTAGGGCGAAGTTTGATTGTGTTCGCGCCGCGCCGTAAAAATGTGAGGTATTAGGCGTCACTACAAATCATATTATGGCTAATTAATGAGGCGTGTATGTGCAATAAATTTTAATTAAATTTCTTTAGATTGCGTGGGCACATTAATAGTACAAAAATGTAATCAATTACATTTTTATTTGAAAATTCGCCACCCTTCTTGGTATCGTTTAGTTGATATTAAGAGATGAAAAAAACGATCTTTTTTCAAAAAAATACCATTACGCCGCTTTGATAATTACAAACATTAAAAAACTGCCAAAGTTAGTTAGTTTCGTTTTGAGTGACGCTTTAATTGATATTCATTTGTTTAGAATTCGTGGTAAAACCTATTGTCATAAATAGTTCCTACTTGAATTGGAATCAAACCGGTATGCCCCCTCAAACGAGTCAACAAGCTTATCAAGAAGCACAGACAGAAGTTGTTACTGCTGTATCATAAGTACTGCGTAGTAAACATGTAGCTTTCATTCATTGTGTGTAGATTACACCTGACGAGCAATGATTATTTCAAGATGCTTTCTTAAGAGACCTTGAAATTAGGTAGACTTTTTGAAACATTTTTTTATACCATTAAGTTGCGTTCTTAGTTTTTGTTTAAAAATCATCAATTCTTTATTTTTGTAATTTAAATACCTTAAATATTTACTGATATCTTTGGTTTTTTTCTGCTATGAGAGCTTTCTCACCTTTTTGACGACCTCCGTGGCCGAGTGGTTTGTACGCCGGGTTTCATGGTGTCGCCAACTCGAGAGGTCCTGGGTTCATATCCCGGTGGGGGCAGATGTTTGTGTGATGAATACGAGCATTTGTACTCCAGTCATGGATGTTTAATATGTATTTTCTATATAAATATATGTACAATATGTATGTATTCTATCCGTTACCCTAGTATCCCATAACACAAGCCTTATAGTGCTTACTTTGGGGCTAGGCTAATCGATGTGAGTGTTGGAAAGTATTTATTTATTTCTAAGATCCCTCTTTTTAGGGTTCCGTGTAGTTTCATCATGTCCGTCTGTCCGTCCTCAGTTTTGCTTGGACACTATTAGCACTAGAGAGCTGTAATTTTGTGGAAATATGTATATCGATCACGCCGACAAAATGGTAGAATAAATTGGATTTTTTTTTATCATCTAAACCATCGTGTGGTATATCGAACCACGTATCGTATATCCTTAAAAATGACTTAAGGATTTCTAAGACTATTTTTCGATTAAGGAATCCTTTTGCGAAATATTGAACTTTAAAGTGCTAATTTTAAGTTAAAATAGATTTGTTAGTTTAGAGTACTAGAAGATATTATAGCGTAACACTTTCTATTGCAACAAAATCTAAAACTAAAAACTACAATAAAATATCATTAGTTCCACAGATTGATAGTGATCAATCAACGACCAGGATCATCCCGTTCTCAGGGTAACCTGAAGCGATCTTCATGTGAAGCTTGTAAGGCCCTCCTGGCCATAAGCATGAACTACGGGTGCGTTTTAATCAGTAAGAGTCTGACGTAACCTTGCAACCGGCTTTAGGGTATCCTTGAGGATTTCACACCTGCTCCCCCACCCTGGGAGGAAACAAAAAAAATCGGCGTTATTCATAGGTATTTAAAAACAAATTAATATCGAATTGATTTTGAGTTTGAGACGCAGTTTGATTTTAATTTAGGTATTTTAGTTGAGATACATAGATTAATATTAATTGTTTTTTCTAATTTCCGATATAGTAAATGACGACTCTTCCTCAAATATATTGTGGTAACTACAGGCAACTACGGAACCCTACACTGAGCGTGGCACGACACGCACTTAGCGGGTTTTTTCAATTAATCTAACACATTTTTTTTAAGTAAGCAAAATCAAATTGCGTAATGAATTGAAAAACAAATCACATATAAGTTTATATCCATTCACACAGTTACTCTCAATTCCTTACTGTGTTGTTCTGGTTTCCTTCAATGGGAGTTCAAATGGGAATTGCGAAATATTCAATTTAAGAACGATAGATTGGAGAGGATTGTTTGTCTATGCGCCTGCTTTGTATCATATTTTACGATACTTCTATTCTAGGGCGAATAGGCGACTGAAGGGTTTCGGAACTGAAATATAATGAATAAAATAGTTTCAATCTTGTGTTCAGAAATAAACTCCATCCAATACTAAAAGCTTTTTGATTATATTCCTTTGAGTTTCTTTTAAACAAAATTTTATATCAAGAATTAATTTACATATCTGCTCTTCTTTATCTAATTAAAAAACGTTATACTGTTCATAAGTCAATAAGAAAATTTCAGTTACTAAGAAAATATCAACTATTTCCTGTGAATATAAATACATAATAATTATATTTATAAATATTTTCTATACTCACACCAATTAGACTAGCCCCAAAGTAAGCACTGTTGGCTTGTGTTATAAGTATATTTATATAAAAGTACATATTAAACATCCATGACTGGAGTAAAAATGCTCGTATTCATCACACAAACATCTGCCCTCACCGGGATTCGAACCCGGAAGCTCTTGAGTAGGCGACACCTTGAAACCCGGCGTACATACCACTCGACCACGGAGGTCGTCAATAGAAAAATACAATGCATTTTTCACTTAACAGTTTTTTTTTAATTTTATTATATGAATCTTTTGTTAACGATTGTGGTGATTGATATTTTTGATAAGTTTAAGTATTTTTTATTATGAAATATACCTTAATTATAATCGCAATATCAATTGCACATAAATGCAATAAATACAGCATTTTTTTCATTTATTTATGCATAGTGTCTATTCATCAATAACTCGGGAGTTGTCAGAGAAGAGATTGTATAATTATAAGAAATTATTACACTCTTTCAATAAATTATCATTCCTGAAAATAACTTTCTATTCTTTTAGATTAAAAAGGAATATTTTGTAAATGAATATAAATAAATCCGACATAAAAACACAGAAAAGGAAAAAAATAAGATTTACCGACTGATTATTAATTTTCGAATAAGTTGATACCAATATCCCGATCTCCCTGCTAAACACTTGACTTGGTATCGACTTCAAATATATCAGTCGGTACATCTTATTTTTCATTTTCAGTTTTTTTGAAGTTGGTTCTGTTTTAAATAGAAAATATTTTTTAATGTAATACCTACAGAATACGCTTCTGGTTGCAAATTTTGCTACTATATTATATACTAAAACCTTTCCTGATAAATACGCATTTACATAACGAAAACCCCATCCAAATAGGATCAGTAGTTAATGAGATAATCGTGCACAAACATACATACTCACTTACAGGTCAAAACTGAGGACATCCTTTTTGAAGTATGTTAAAAAAGAGTTCGTCGTGAGTTCTTAGCCTAACCCCTTTTTCCTACTCTGTGAAGATATAAACCTTACTTTGAAACAGGAACACAGCACTAAAGATAAGTTATTATATAGCTGCAGCGTCTGTAAGGTGGAGATTGCTTCACAGGAACGCAACGACAAATTTGTGGTTCATTACTTTGTATTAAAATTGAATGTGTAATTGCAATAGTAACACATTAGAAAATGTTTGTCCAATCAAGAAAATCCTCTTAGTCTATTAAATAATCCTGTCCTTTAATCCTCTTTAAATAGTATATAGTACCATAATTGTAAAAGCACATGAGTAGTAAATCTAAATATATGTGGTAAAAGTAATTTAAAAAAAAATACAGCCGAACATAGAACCTCCTTCTTTTTTAATTCAGTTAAAAATGGGATGAATCTTTATATTTTAATTCATAATTCGAATGAGTGCCTTTTTTATCTGAAAAAAGATCTTTAATCCCCGGCGATTATTGTAATTGTAATAATAATACCTGCGATGTTATCAATTCTTTTATGGCGATGCCGTGTGAATTTCGAGTTGGTACATGGGAAATGCCGTTGACAGCTCACTTCCATTACCGTCATTATAGAACCATTATAGTGAGACTGCTTTCACTAACACCGACTTACTTAGAAAGAAACATCTTAATCTATTTTTGACAACATTTGTATTTAAAGCACTGAGTTTTTTGTATACTTCACCGAAAATAAAAGTGCCTTATTAACAATCAAATACAGAGTCCATCAACTGTCCATTCTTTTATTATCGAAATTTGAAAGGAAAATACTTTTTGCTATAAAGTTTTTCAACAACCGTTTTCAGTATCGTTTTAGTTGTTAAGCAATCGTAGAAACATCAAAAATCTGTGCCTTTTTCATTGGAATCTGATTTTAACGCGAAGCGATGTCATTGCTTTTTATGAAACAGATTGGACGGCCTGACAATTTACACGCAAAATATGTTGAATTCTTATAACGGCTTTCCGCTATATCTACTTTGATATTATTTTCGGTCAATCATGCGTAAAGGACGATAATAAATACAAAAGCCTTTTTTACTTATAAAGCCCTGAGTATCACTACTACTGAGGTGACACTTACTTTATCGTCACTTCATGCAAGGTTAGAAAGAGTTTGAATATAAATAAAGCTATTTTGAGAAAAGATACCATGAATATTTTCACACGCAATTACAATTACATTAGATTAGAATTCTTTATTGCAAAAAAAAGGTACAATGACATGACATGTATTCAAAACAGATTCTATATATTTAACCATAAATGGCATGCAATTTATACAAAAGACAAATATTGAAAATAAAATACGGGTATTTACTATACAATTACCAATGTATGTAATACAAATAATTTCATTAAATAACTTTTTTAAT